GATGTGTGTTACTCTGTTTTAGTAGGTAATTTAAGCTCATTTTTAGTACTTTCGATTCAGTGTTGGCGGAATGACCGATGTTGCGGAAATCAAAGGCCACAGGTACTTCAGATTAATGTGACTCCAAATCCAAATGCGAATGTGTATTTGTTCTTCTTGACAGTTTTTAACGAGTTTACATATCACAAAATATGCTATATACAATCTACTTTAAAGTTAATCTACTAATATTCTTTGAAAAATTAAAATCTTAAAACGTCGAAAGCAGTTGAAAATTTTTTTTCTTCATATGCATCTCTGGGCATGGCGGCTATTTACTTGCATGAATGAATTAATATGTAAATAATAAAATGCAAATAAAATAATTGATGCATTAAAACAGAACTTGTGCATGAGAATATCTGAATTTAACGGTTTGCTTATATTAATGGTATCTTGTTTTGTCATCGTCTACTACTCACAGAGCCTAGAGAACAATTACTAGGATCACCATCCTGAAAAAGCCGTATACTCGATGCACATGTAAAGTCGCGAAATATCTGTGTCATGAAGCTCATCTTGACAGCTTCCAACAGTGCTGTCTATGAAGTATCTCCCGATGGTGCCACTGGGACACTAACGAGCAAATGCTGGTCAGACGGGTCTGAGAAAAATACCAGATGAACTCAGAGATCCGTGCCTGGCTTGGTTTGATAAAGAACTTTTCAAAACTTTTCTCACGTGAGAACTGCCAACTGCCCGTCGCACGTTCAAGGACAATACAAAGCACGAGACATACATACCTTTGCCGCACCAGTGAACGTTGCCCAATATCAGTCTGAAATACCGTTTCTTAAGGTCAAACACCACAAATCATGGTTCCTGTTTAAGTTCTTCTAACCGTTGTTGACGATGACAAAAGAATAACAGTGGCAACAGAGCTTATACATCGATTCGTAATATCTGGATGGCAAATTTTAATTAAATTTAAATTTTTTTAAACATTGGTTTGTGCTCATTCAGAAGCTCACCATCTTATGTCTCATATCAAAACTTCATCCCTGATTTTGAGAATCAAAAGGCATTAAACTGCGTTGTCGAATTCCTTATGTATGCAGTAATGGTTCAACTTTTGTTTTTTTACTTAACTTTTCTCTTTGTTTCTAATCTCTCACTCATAGTCCAAGATCGTTTTGATTTCCCTCTGTAAAATGGTGTTACATCATTTATGTCATGCCTATGTTTCTCGGCCTTTACACTTCAAAGACCAGATTTAAGTGCTTATTAATTGCCTCTATGACCTGGTTGTTTAGTGCGCTATTTAATCAGGGCTAGATGCATCTTGCAACAATTTTAGAACAACCTTATCACAAACATCGTTACAATGGTTGATTCTCGTCGTATGCTAGGCATAAGCATCAAGATAAGGGTTGGTTCACTGCAACATGTAAATTAGTGTGTAACTCCAGAAATCTTTTCTGAAACATAGTTCATGATGTCGTTCACATTCTTCTAATCTGGTGCTTGTTGTGTAAAGGTATAAGTTTGTATGAATTCTTGAAGTTAACTTAAATAAGCGAATCTTGCTCTTCGTTTTCTCCCTCTTCAAGTTGGTCCTAAAGGATGTTGCAGTATATCATGAAATCTGGTCTTGGAATTGTCCACCAGTTAACACGCTGCGGTATATAAACCCATATTTTCATACCTCTGTTGATGTTGACTATTTTTTCTTGATACATTTTTTTTCGACTCTTTCCACTTAATGATATGACATTTCCTTGTTCAGGCAGCAAAGCTAACTTTGATATACATGATTAATCGTTATTTAATTGTTAACTTAAAACTTATGTTTTCCGTTACACGTAGGTTGCTTCTGAGTGCTGTTCCAGTATGTTTTAGTTTTCATTGGGGAGGCACTGCTATAACTAGCGTAGAGTTTGCCGTTTGCTATAAAAAATATCAGTATGAGTTGTCAGTGTGTCGACTCATGCATTTATTTTAAGGCGCACGTATGTCGGATCGATGCCGGGGAAGGTGATTCAATCATTGAAGAAAGTTCGTTGTGAGAACCCGTTGATCCTGATTGACGAGGTTTCGTTCGTTTGTTATAGCTTAATTTATTTTTTAAGTCACTTTTGAAAATTCAGGTGGATAAAATTGGTCGCGCAAGTTTACATGGAGATCCTGCATCAGCCCTACTGGAGATGCTGGACCCGGAACAAAACCATAATTTCCTTGATTACTATCTAGACGTCACAGTCGATTTGTCAAAGGTGAATTTTTGGTTATGCTGCCATTGTACTTTTATGGTCATATGCTTAGGTTTTATTCATTTGTACTGCAAATATCATCGATACCATCCCGGAACCTCTTCGCGATAGGATGGAGATGATCGAAGTGTCCGGTTATGTCGCTGAGGAAAAGTTGAACATAGCTGAAGTAGATGAAAGCGTTGAAAGTCTAGGCTGTATTCTTTTGGCATGACCTCTTTTAGAAATACTTGATTCCTCAAACCAAAGACGAATGCGGCATCGACGATAAGCAAGTGTGTATTAATTCCGACGCATTGCGAACGCTGATTAAGCAATACTGTCGTGAGAGCGGTGTTCGGAACTTGAAGAAGCATATCGAGAAGGTATGTTATCTTTCTTTGGCATGTTTGACATCGCTTACTTACTGTTCTTCTTATCGACAGATTTATCGGAAAGCCGCACTGAAAATTGCTGCCAACGAAATCGACCACATTGTCGTATCCAACGACAACCTGAATGAATTGGTCGGAAAGCCTATTTTCACACATGACCGTTTGTACGACGAAACCCCTTCAGGCGTAGTGATGGGTTTAGCATGGACAGCTATGGGTATGTAATCTTACAAGGAGTATATTTCATTGTGTATAACTTTAATATAATTTTTTTTGGTGTTTGTATTTACGCAGTACTTAACTTTACGTGGTCATAGTAACAGCGTAAATGCCTGCGGTGCATCATGATATATTTTATACAGTAGCTGAACATTGTCTGTTAATTACAACGTTATATAACCAGCCCTTGCAAGATAGACCTGATCACGTTTCAATCTGTCTCGCAGTCTTATTTATGCGTCTGTATCTTCTACTGAAATTCCTTTCGACTCTGGTACCATCAACAGCAGTATCATTCTCGCAAGAAGAAACAGTGGCCAACACTCTGAAGAAGGTCTGTGAAACCGAAAAGTCGTTATTCGTTATGCAGCCAGTCCCCTAATTACCGGAGTTTTAAACGCGTCAATAGGCAGTGGCCTGCTTATAACGACTAATCGATCAATCAAATCTCATTTTCAGCTTCCCCCTGAACGTAGAACGGCAGATGGCAAATGCTTTTACAAGGCACTTATTCATTTCCAGTCCTTTTATTAGATGCGAGTAGCT